GTTTATGCCTGAAATGTCTTTCACTGGGGATGCCGCGGAAGACTCTTGAAACCTGCCTGCCCCCCATTTCCAGCTCCCTGGGCCTTGTTGCCCAGCAAATAACAGCCTCCAGCTGGGCGCCCCTTTAACAAGACTGAACCCTCTTTTCCCTCCTGGGAAAGCCCAGGTGATTTGGCCTGTTTCCAAAAGAAGAGTGACTGCTGCCCAAACCTCCTGAAGGAGACCTTTGCTGTGTTGGCTCATGTCCCCCCACCCACGCTGCCCGAGGTCAGTGAACTCAGCTGGCCCAGACAGGAGGTAAAGGTTTTGCTGTTTCCTGGCCCAGCTGCTTCATTTCTGGGCTTCGGTTTCTCTTCGCAAAGAGAGAATAAGAACAGTCCCGCCCTGGCCGGTTTGGCTCAGCGGTTAAAGAGTTGGCTAGCGGACCAAAGAGGCCTGGGTTCGATTCCAGGCAAGGACACATACCTTGGTTGTGGTTGGTCCCGGGCCCCTGCAGGGGTTGTGCAGGTGGCAACAATCTCTCTCACATCGATGGTTTTCTCTCTCTCTCTCACTCGCTCTCTCTCTTTTCCCCACTCTGTCTGAAGATAAATGTAAAAATATCCTCAGGTGAGGATTTAAATAAATAAAAGGGAGTTATATACATATGGACTTGTCTGGGATCTAGTAAATCCTGTGTCTGTCCCTTCTTCCTGCTCCTCCCTTGGCAGGACTAGGGTGCTCCACATCCCCTATCACCCAGCACAGTGCTGGGCACACTGCAATCGGAATACAGTGTCGATGAATTAACTTCCTGGTCTCATTTGCATCCACATGTCACTTACCTGTATCCAGCTCAGCTGGGACTAGCCTTTGAAGAATGTGTACTTTAAAATTATTTTTCCAATAAAAGTAATTATTGCTCCTTGTATTCAGTATTCAGTGTGGACTAGGTATTCAAATATAAAGAAGAAAATAAATAGTATGGCTACCTCCAACATCCAGAGGTAATCACTGGTTAATATTCTAACTGGCATTTCCTTCCGGTCTTTTTTTCTGTACTCGTGTGTCTCCTTCAACTGCCATGGTGTTTGCTCCAGAGCATTTGGAGTAACTGCTCAGCCTCTAGGACAGTGGTTCTCAACCCTCCCAGTGCCGCGGCCCTTGAATACAGTTCATGCTGTGGTGACCCCCAACCATAAAATTTTTTTTGTTGCTACTTCATAACTGTAATTTTGCTACTGTTGTGTCTTAGACGACCCTTGTGAAAGGGTCATTTGACCCCCAAAGGGGTCGCAACCTACAGGTTGAGAACTGCTGTTCTAGGGTCTCAAAGAAAGGACCTTACTTGCATTTAATAGCTCTTTCTCTCTCAATGAATGAAGTATCTGTACTGTATATCTCTATATATGGTCTCACATCTCAGCCTCGCGGAGGGTGAAGTCTGCCCCCATATCAAAAACACAAGAACGCTGCCGGGATGTCTCCAGCCTCTCGGCTCAGTGGGCACCTCTTTAAGCTAGGCAAATGATTTAAGAGGAAAGAATTTCTCTGGGTTTCTTGACATCCTGTTCTGTGCTCCGTTGTTTAGGTGAAGAAATATAGTAATGGTTTTATTCTGGTGAAAGAGAAACTAGCCGCAGGGCACTCAGGCTGAATCCTCTCCCCAGATCAAGGTTTCACAAAGGCAGTCAGGGCTCACAGCCCTGCACCTCTCAGCTGTCCACTGGCTGCTAATTCCTTAGCTTGCCAAAGTCAACCAGTGTGCAAGTCAGAGGTTAAGGGGGTCTGCAAGGCTGGGCAAATTAATTTGATCCAAAGCATTTTGGGGAAGTAGCAACGCAAATATTTTTTGCTCTGTTATAAGACACTTATGGAGTCCAGCAGGCTGTCTCAAACCTCTGTTGATTTGGGACAGTGTCCACAACTTCGCACCAGAAGTCATAACAGAACCACAGTTTGGGCGGGTGATTCTCGTATTGTCGCAATTTGGCTTAACATGGCGGGTGCTTTTGAGTCCTGAAATCTTCCCTTGATAACTGTGCCCCTCCACCTCTGTGCAGATGAGCCCAACTACCCTTCAGATACATTTAGAGGTGTGTAGGTGCATGTTTTTATATGTGTATAATGTGTGTGATTTTGTGTGTTGTGCGTGTACGTGTGTGTGCATGTGTGTGTGTGTTTGTGTGTGTGTATAAAGGGATGGAAGGGAGGAAACACTCCAACTTCAACCTTACACCATTTCTTCATAGCTAGGTCTAACTTTTTTAACTATTTTGATCATGAGACTGTCTGCTCCTCTATATAATTTTTCTTCACCTTGAAATATACTAAATTCCTATATTATATTTATATGTTTGTATATATGCATGTACGTGTACACACACACACACACACACACACACACACACACACACAACCTCACTCATTCCCGTTGCGGGTATGCAACTTGAGGGAAAGCACTGGGTGTCCTACGCCCCCTTGTGGTCGAAAGGCAGCAAGACAGGGTGACTACATGGTACTGAAAATGTTTTCTCTGGGTGTATGGGAGTTATTATCTCTATTTTAAAAAATTAGTAGTATTATTGTTGTTACCACCACTTTCTACTGGCTGACTATTACTATTCACGAGGACACTCTTAGCCATATAGCCTCCCACTGTGCTAAGTAAGCACTTCACACACCTTATTTCAGGAAAGATTTGTAACAACCCTCTGGTGTAACTATTGTTAGCACTGCTGTGGATAGAGCAGGAAGCTACAGCTCAGAGAGGTTGAGTAACCTGCTCAGAGTCACACAACTCATAGGAAATGGGTCTAGGACTTGACCTCAGACCTGACTCCAGACCTAACTCCTGCTCTTAACCACCGTCAGTTAGAGCAGCGTTTCTCAAAGGTGAGCTCCATGTGGACCCTTTCAAAGAAGATACTTTCTTATGACCCAAAGAAAATGGAAACTCCTTTGAGAAACTGCATTAATAGGAAAACCCTGTAACCACGGTGAGCCCTGGTACCATCGCAGCCATCCGTACGGCTGAGGCCCACCTGCAAGCGCGCCCCTCGAGGGTATCGGCTGAAATGAAGGCGTAACTGCATTTAAGTCCCAAGAGACATGGGGGCTAGGGCTGCCTTCCTCCATCAGTTCTGCCAACCATTTCTAATAGAGCCGTCTGAGAAATGCCGATTTAGAATATGTGTGAAGAATAAAGCGGTTGTGTCATATTGCCCATTCAGTAGTGCTCATGAGAGTGTTCCTAATTGGCTGGTCTTTAATCGTATATATATATTTGGTTCATGCCCTTAGCGGGAATCGAACCCAGGACCCAGGACTCTCTGATCTGCAGACCGACGCGCCAACCACTGAGCCAAACTGGCCAGGGCTCACATTTATTTTTTAATTCCATAAGCCTTTTCTTGGACTTCACTTGCACCTGAGTCTTTGAGCTGCGGGGCTGCTTTAGGCAGAGCCCCCCAGGCAGAGCTGAGACAAAGGCTTGTGCCACAGTAAACGTGGTTGATTAGGAAGTGATCCCAGGAGGCAGGAGTGAAGAACAGAAGGAAAACCATAGAAGACAGACTGTCAAGTTGCCATCAGAACCCTTTGCAGAGTGTGTAGAGTGATCTCAGGGTTGCCAGCCGTCCTGAGGGAGGAGTGGGACACTGTCCTCCCCTGCTCCGCTCATTATCCCACTCTCCACTGGTCTGGGTCCCCCACACACCCTGCTGGGCCGTCTGCTAAGCACCAGGCTCCCGAGAAGCTCCGCGTGGTCTGTTCCTTTCCTGTAGCCACTGTAACAAATCACCACAATCTGGGCACCTTAAAACAACAGATATGTATTCTCTCAAAATTCTGGAAGCCAGAAGTCCAACATCAGTTTCACTGGGCCAAAATCAAGGTGTCTTAGAAACTTGCTTCCACTGTTACAGGATAGAGTCTGGGCCTGGGCTGCATCTGCCTCAGGCCAGCTAGTAGTGACTTCATGCAGGAAAGATTTTGAAGACGGGTCCAGGTGATTTTGAGAGTATGTTTAGTAAAGCTGGGGACAGTGAACCAAAAGAAGGGCTTAAGGTAGAAGACGCAACAGGAGAGAGCCTAGGTGGGGCTGCTGTGGTTTTCTAGAAATGTTATCGGGAAGGAATGAGCCTAGAAGGAGCCGCGTTAGCTCACTGGAAAGTCAGAGGAAAAGGGAACCTTGGAGAAAGGTTCAGGGGGTTAGCCTGGGGCGAGCTGTGGCTGCCCGCTGCTCCCCGGGTTGCAAGTCTTTTGGGGACCCTTAGAGTTTAGGAGAAAGAGAACAGAGGTACAAGGCATGGACATGATCTATCGAGAGCACACCCTCGATACTTGAGGCTGTATTTAATCTTCCTTTGGCAGGTGGGAATCTTAGGGGAGGTCTCAGGGGAGGGTCTTAACAGAATATTCATTAGCTTTCCAGGTGTATCCTTCAAATATGCTGATTCATCAAAATGTGTGTATAGAAGAGTCAGCACTATTTTCTGGTTAGTTCTGCTTTTAAAGAATGTTATTGAAGAGGGACTGGGACCGAGGCCAGTCTGCCCCAGGACAGTCTGGAATGTGTAAATTATTTGCTCCTCGGTGTCCTGGTTAGGGAAGATAAAACCTTGTGATTCATTAGCTGGCTGTATTTTGTTTTGTTTTATCCTCACCCAAGGGCATTTTTATTTATTTATTGCATTTATCTTCATATAGAGCAGGAGGGAGAGAGGGAGGAAGAGAAAGAGAGAAACATCAGTGTGAGAGAGACACATAGAGTGGTTGCCACCCACACAACCCCAATCGTGCGGGGACAAACGGCAACTGAGGTACGTGCTCTTAGCAGGAACCAAACCCAGGACTTTTCGGTCTGCAGGCCAACGCTCCAACCGCTGAGCCAAACTGGACAGAGCCATTAGCTGGCTGTATATTGCAAAAATTGTTTGGCCTTGTTTAAGTATGTTGTCTCAGTTTCCCTTATTCCACTTGCCAAGGAATTTCCCTAGCTTCTTACTGTCCTGCCTCACCATTGGAGGCTCTGGGGAGAATCCCGCCCTGGTCTCTTCCAGCTTCTGGTGGCTTCCCTGGGCTTGTGACCACATCACCACATGGCCTTTTTCTCTGTATGTGTCAAATCTGCTTCTTTCTTCATCCCTGTGATGGCATTTAGGGCCCACCTGAGTAATCAGGGTGATCTCGTCTCAGGATCCTTAGTCACATCTGCAAAGACTCTTCCTGAAAAAGATGGCATTTACAGGTTCCAGGGATGACAACAAGCATGTATCATTCGGGAGCCATTTTTCAGCGGGGACTACAGGTGAGAAGCAAGAGACAAGCCTTGCTCACTGCAGGTGAGACCTGTCAGTGCACTGCAGGTGGAGGCTCGTTGGACCTGGTGACACTCCCTGTGGCTGGAGGCACGAGGACAAGGGGTGTGCGACAGAAAACAAAGAAGACTGCACTGTACACCTTCAGCTGACAGACCAGAGATCTTCTGGGTCAAAGGATATACATGTTTGCAATTTTGAAAAATGTTGCCAAATTGACCTCGAAAAAGAAATTATACCAATTTACACTCCCTCCCCCAAATATAGTAGAATGTCTGTTTCCCCACATTGTTATTGCCCCATGTATTATCAAGTGTTTTGATCTGTGCCAATCTCAGAGATGGAAATGGCATCTCAGTATCATTTTAATTTGTATTTTTCTTATAAGAGTAAAATTGAACATCTTTTAAATCTGTGAACAACTGTGTATTCTTTCTTTGACCATGTTTCTTGTTCTTTTTTAAATTCTTATTGGTTTGTAAGAGTCTTTATATATTAGAAAAATTAAGCCTTTGTGTGGGATATGTCTACAATGAAATAGAAATTTCATGTCACTGAAGCACTGTGTTTCTTTAATTTTGTGAATTGTAATAGTATAACTGATTACCCGAGGCAATTTTCTTATTTACTTTTGAGAGTCATATTAATATATTTGATTATAATGATGAGCTTTTATAATTGGTAAGCTTTCCAAACTTAATTTTTTAAAATATTTTTTCTTTATTGATTTTAGAAAGAGAAGACGTGAGAGGGAGAGAGAAATAGAAACATCAATGAGAGAGAACATTGATTGGCTGCCTCCTGCATGACCCCCACTGGGGATCGAGCCCACAACCTGGGGGACATGTGCCCTGACCGGGAACCAAACCAGCGACCTTTTGATGCAAGGGTCGACGCTCAACCACTAAGCCACACCAGCAGGGCTTTCCAAACTTAATTTTGTAGGCTAGTTAAATAGTAAATCTTTTTGTGGTGCCTACCTTTCTTTCTCGAGGTTTTGTTTTAGCTCAGACTGTTTCCATGGTCCTTCATATGTCCTGATGGTTCACATCCTGCCATTATCCTAAACCCATCAAGTCCCACATCCTTAAAAAACTTGCCCAGTTGTTCCCATCTACAAGACCTCTCCCTTTTCTCAGTCTCTGTAGCACATGAAGTGTGAAATTCGTCCCACAGAGTTTCACACTGCCTGCTATTGTTTCCTGGTTGTTCTACATGTGTAAGACTTACCCTTCTAAAAAGCAAGGACAAACCTGGCTGGATAGCTCAGTTGGTTAGAGCATCATCCTGATATGACAGGGTTTCAGGTTTATGCAAAATCGACCAATGAGTGCATAAACAAGTGCAACAACTTATTATTAAATTGATGCTTCTCTCTCTCCCTTCTTCTCTCTTTAAAAATAAATACATAAAAATTTTAAATAAAAATAAAAAGCAAGGACATCTTTCATATTCTTCACACCACTTAAAACTCTCCTGGGAACAAAGTATGAACACAATAAATACTTATTAATCGGAAATAATCTTCAGAGTTTCTTAACCTATGTTTCCATGAATAGAATTCAGGTGTCCTGAGATATGATATATGATATGATATGATATTAATTACTGATGTCCTTGTAAGAAGAGAGGGATGCACACAGCCACAGACAGAGGCCGTCTGTGTGAAGACAGATGCTGCCATCAGCCAAGGGAAGACTGGGCTACCACACGCTGGAAGGGATGAGGGAGGATCCTCCCCTGGAGGCGTCAGAGGGAACACAGCTTTTCTCACACCTTGATTTTGGGCTTCTGGCCTCCAGATTGTGAGACAATAAATTTCTGTTGTTTAAGGCATCTTGTTCAATGTACTTCTTTATGGCAGGAAGCTAATACGCATGCTATCTATAACTTTGTAAACAATAGAAATCACAAATATTTTAATGTAAGATCATCGTTGCTACAGATACCTCAAAATATTGTTTAAGCTCATTTCAAGTTTGAAATGACAATAATTAGACCCAAAGCTAGATCTTTTTATTTCATGAGGTAATAAATAGCATCAATTTGATTGAAACTATTTTGGTATTATAATAACTGTATTTCAATATAATTTTTTTATTATTCTCTTTATCTTATTTTATGCCTTTAAAAACATTATTCTGAAGAGTCCCTAGGCTACACCAGAATGCCTAAGGACTCCGTAGCCCAATCAAGTTCTGCCTTAGCTGCAGTAATCAAATATATCCAGGAGAGGGCACTAGAGCACCTATGCAAAAATTCATATACATTAACACTATATTTTACTTATTTTCTCCCATTGCAGAAACAGAAATGTTCTTTAAATTAATATATTATTTTTAGAATATTAATAATATATGCAATGTAAACAGAATATTGAGATACTTGCAGGCCTGCTGTCCTATTTATTTGTTAACTCTTAAAATGTCCATACCATTTATTTTAAAGAACTGCCCTTTTTAAAAAATGTTTTTATTGATTTTTTTTTTTTTTTTAGAGAGAGAGAAAAAAAAATTGATATGAGAGAGAAACATCTTCTGGCTGCTTCCTGCATGCCCCACACTGAGGACCCAGAGGATCCAGCCCATAACTCAGGCATGTGCCCTGACTGGGAATCTGGACAACACTCAATCCACTGAGCCACACCAGCTGGGCTCCATACCATTTTATAAATGTTTAAATGAACAGTTGGTACTGATTATTTTTAAACTGCATTTTATAGCTACAAAATACTTTGTAATTTATGTCCTGTGTAAAAGAATGGAATGAACACAAAGTGAAAATTAATGTAAAAAAGAGCCTGACCACATTACAAATATACACAAAATACCAAAATGCTGACCCATAGTGATAACAGCATGGAAGAGCCTTCTAGGTCCTTGCCCAACCCAGTTAGAACATCACCTGAGGCTTCCTAGTGTACACAACGTAGTCCTTTTTTTCTTGGCAAAACACCCCTTTCCAATTGCATTTTCTCAGAGTCTGATCACTTTTAAATCTGTTAAGTTGTCCAAATGAACTACTTGCTGGGCTGTTCAATTGCTTATTCTTCACACTTTTGACCAGAAGGCCAGATTGAAAGCAGCACTTTTTTTTTTCCCTTTTATCCTTCTTTGTCTCCCCTAGTCTAACCCAAATCCGTGGCCCTTCACAGACAGCTTTCTGCCTGGTTTTTCTGGTGGAATGAAATCAGAGAGTGGGGAAAGTGTGATAAAAGGGTGAGCCCCACCTATTTCTTCTTTTGAGATTGGTTAAGGCCTCTGAGTAACAACGTTACTGTTTCCTAAGCATTCCAGGCCCTGTCCTGTGTACCCTGTGGGCCAGGACATAGGGGAGAAATATTCCCCCAAATCTAAAAACTCTACACAGGGCTGTGCACATCCTCACACTGCCTAGTCGGTGTGGTATGATTTTGGGGTTTAGATGAATATGACTTTGAGGAATACGGTGAAGAAATAAAATGGAGTCACTACAGTCAAGCTGCTAAATTACTAAAATCAAGTAAGTTGAGGCATGAAGAAATGATTCTACCCATGATTTAACTAACCTGGGAACTTAGATGTTTGACTAACTATCATGTGATTAAGCGCATATACAGCAGTGGATCCTCGGGACAAGGGGATGATGCGTGTCCCTGGTGGGGAAAGAGTCAGAGGGCAAGAGATTTCATCACACTCGGAATAGCACACTATTTAAAATGTATGAATTGTTTATTTCTGAAATTCTCTATTTAATATTTCCAGACCACAGTTGGCAGTGGGTAACTGAACCATGGAAAGCCAAAACTTGAATAAGGGGGCACTGCTATAGATATTTTATCAGTGTGAGCCCCTTCTCTTTCTGCCCCCCAAAACACATGCTTTCTCCTTGGAAGAGCCATGCTTGAGTGTTACTTCATGATCAGGCAGGGTGAGGGCTGTTACCAGATGCATTTCAGGAGAAGATAGTCATGACTGTCACTCAAATCTAGAAATGGAGGTTTATGTTAAAGATTTTATTTAGCACTTCATTCAACGAAAGAATCAGGCAGATCTTATCACTGGTTCAATAAAGTCAAGAGGCCCATATTTATATGTGATTTCTATGTAGTAAAGAATATGTTGACATGAATTCTAGAGAAGGAAAACTGTTTTTGTCCACCGGTTGGGGAGTCGCGGGACCGCTCCAGACCGGACAGGATTTACCAGTTACCTACACCGCGCAGAGCTGTGAGCCACCTCACAATCGGAATCAGAAGGGGGAAAATCAGAATCGGACAAGACAGAGGCTGTGTTAGAGGCAGTGTAGTTTCCACTGGAATAGCTTTCCCTACCTACCGCTGAAGGTGTTCGCTGCGGTGAAGGGCTCCCTTTCTATCTCCTGCTGTCTAGAATTAGATCATAACAGAAAGTACCCTGCTGCGGCACAGGTTGAGAAATCACTAAAAACCAAGGTCTCAGGTCCTGGAACAAAGCTGCAGGCTCCAGGGGCCAGCAAAGCTGTTTACTAAGAAACAATGCATTGCAACAAAGGAAGCGCACACCCTCTGCCCCAGCTCGTCAGGGGCCCAGCCTGCGGCCCAGGCAGGTGGGCTCCTCGCCGCCTCACCCCGCGGGCTCCGCGGCTCTCCGCCCACGGGGAGGGAAATTGACCAGCGTGGCGGGCTCCTACTCAATTTCCAGCTCAGCGGGCAGCTCAGGTAAACCTCTCCGCCCAGCAGAGCTGTACCGCTAGCTCCCAGTTTCAAGTCCTGGTGGTTGAAAAAACAAATTTTTTCCCCAACACCTTCTCCAGTTCTTGAGACTCACCAGAAGGAAGGCCA